CCAAATCTAGAATACCCAATGGACCATTTGCACAATCAACGGATCCACGCCGTCGATTTGAATTCGTTCAAATGGTTACAGACACTTTTTGGAAGAAATGGACCAGAGATTATTTCCCAAGCCTGTTAATACAACAGAAATGGCATACTGCACATAGGAACTTGAAAGTAGGAGACGTCGTTCTTATCCAGGATTCAAATCTGATTAGAAGCCAAAGGAAATTAGGAAAGGTATCGAAGACATTCGAAGGCCAAGACGGCAAAGTACGCAAAGTTCAAGTTCAGTACAAAAACCCGAAACCTGGAGAACGGTATTGAAATATAATGGAAGAGGTTACGTCACGATTGAGAGACCAGTTAAAAAACTGGTCGTTCTCCTACCTAATGATGAAAACAAACTATCTAAATAACTACTTCAGAAACACTCTGATGCTTTAAATGTAAATATCGATTTAACTCGCATTTGGCGTGGGGAGTGTATCGTCATTTATTTCATAGATACTGAGATTTACACACGACAAAAAGCCCGCGTAAAACTAGTACGTTAAATCCATTAGCCAACAGGAAACGCGAACGATAAATTTCACTAGTCGCCCAACCACAAACGCGAACGACGAAAATTCACTAGTGCACAATCGTGGCCCGCGAGTTTCACTCCGACTCTTGAATCCAACATGGCTAGTTCAAGGTTTGCTTCTTTGCAAAGTTCCATTTAGACTTTTATTGAAGAACAAGAAAACCAGAACACAGTGAAGTTAACGAAACGAGACGTTGCTTTGTTTACAGAGTTCCTTCAAACAAAAGGAGAAGCACGAAGTGAAATAGCTGAAATCCTCCCGCAGAGCGGAATGAACTTTCGAGTGAATTCATTTTAAGCGTTCGTACAAAAGAAGGACAAGATTACGGAAAAGCATCAGTGGAAGAGAATCAGAGTATCCAGTGACTCCGATAATGACTAAGTTATGTACATTCAAGTTTGCCTTGAATTTTCAGGAAAGTTGCAGACTGTTTTTGACTGATATCGGTTAAGGTTTGCATTGTGTTATTCAGCGTAAAAGCGTATGACGCTGCGTGTTTTCAAATTTAGTGACATTCTGATTTACGACATTTATGACTTGTAAATCTAAGTCAAGTTTTTTTTTCTAAAAGTTGTCATTTACGTCTACATATTTGGATTTTTTATCTTCATTAAAATTTCAAAAGACAAAGAGAACTTTATATTTTAGTTTTTAATAGCAATTGAATGGGTTTTCTAAACATGCGCGCCCAAACTGATAAAATTGACCAGCAATTTTTCTTTTAAAAAATCTCAATATCTATAAAATAAACAATTTACATCATGGAAAATGCTTTGTACGATTTTATTCACTCGTTGAGGAGTATCAGAAAACTCACTCGTTCCCAGCGCTCACT